CTGTGCATGTGAGAGAGTATTGTATGAGAGAGTGAGTGTGTGTGAGAGTGAGTGTGTGTCTCCTCTCTGTGTGTGAGAGAGTGAGTGTGTGTCTCAGTATGTGAGTGAGAGAACAAGTGAAAGTGTGAGAGTATGAGAGTGTGTGTGTATGAAAGAGTGTGTGATATACACACAGCGAGAGGGAGGGAGGGAGGGACGTAGAGAGAGAGAGAGAGAGAGAGAGAGAGAGAGAGAGAGAGAGAGAGAGAGAGAGAGAGAGAGAGAGAGAGAGAGAGAGAGAGAGAGAGAGAGAGAGAGAGAGAGAGAGTTAGTTTTCTGTTGTTGTCCCGGGGTCTTTATTGAGCTCCGTGATGGCTGATGTTTGCAGCCTTTGGGTCATTGCTCCCAGCTCCTTGTGTGGCCCCGAGTGCTCTGTGCTGCCTCTCTCCTCTCTTCCACGCCCTGTGTACTGTATGTGCTGCAGAGCAGATGGAGCTGCCAGGTTCCCTTAGCGCAGGGGCTCTCAAGAGGGGTCAGCGTTTCAGAAGACACAAGTGGTGGCAAGATGCAACACTGTTTCACTACACAAGAGTGAAACAGTCCTAAAGAGAAACAGCTCACACAAGGATGATCTCAACACTTGGGATCACACGCCTTAATCCCAGCACTAGAGGGGCATAAAAGATAGGAGCAGGGTCTTCAGTAGTCAGTGTCAGGCATCCATTCTCCAGCCACACTGAGGATAGGAAGACCTTGAAGTCTCAGGATTCTCCAGCCATGCTGAGGGGCTTCAGTCTGAGGTTTAGGGGAGCCAGGATCACATTTCAGTCTGAGGTAGAGTGAGAGCTAGTGCCTGGCTGTTTTGCTTTTCTGATCTTCAGCTTGAAGCCTGAAGCCGAGTGTCAGTCTCCGGGTCTTTGATTCATCGTGCTTCACCTTACTGTTGTTTGGTCCATACATATGTTGCCTCATTTATATGGCCTTCGCAGTAGCTTGTATTCATGAAGCTTGATGATTTGGTTTTTGATGAAAATGGGGTTTTCAGGAGTAGGGGTGAAGAAATATTCCCTCATGTAATAGAATGGCCATGGAGAAGTTTAACATGAAAAAGCACCCAGACCTGAAGAGGATTCTGAGCCATGCTATGTATGTCAATCCTGGTATCAACCAGGAAGCTATGAATTACCAATATTGCCTGATAGCAAAGATTTTGAGATATCATGTCTTCTCTATTTTGAATTTGAGGAATGATGTTTTCAGAATTTTTACAATCTTGATGCCTTCTTGGTTGACTTTTAGTGATGCTTCAGTTATAAACACATTCTATAATCTTCCAGGAAGCGCCCTAATTTATTTTGTTCTCATTTCAGCTTTCATTTTGTTTTCCTCTTCTCCCTTTTTATATTTTATGTGGTTGACACTTTACTCTTTATTCTATAATTTTCTAGGTGTTTGACATCATCTCTGTTATACTGGAAGCTCCTTGAAGCTTTCGATCCTTTTACTAATATCTTTCCCCTCAAACAACACCCAGTAGGTGATTCTAATATTGATTGAATGAATCAAGAAAATGCTCGTGAAAGCTGGGCCCTTTCCAATGGCTCAACTTGGATATCTAACTCTAGATTCCTTGAAAAAGTATTTAGCTTTTGCTGCATGTGCTAAGCTGGATTCATAATGGAAAAAAGATGCCCATCTGCATTCACAAGCCTCATATGATTTTTTTTGAGCCTCTTCGTTAGGTGTATAAGCATCTGTTCCTTTGTGTGTGCCTACTATGTGTGTGGTGTGTACATGTGTTCACATGTGTGTGGTGTGTATATGTATGTGTTCACATGTGTGTGGTGTGTATATGTATGTGTTCACATGTGTGTGGTGTGTATATGTATGTGTTCACATGTGTGTGGTGTGTATATGTATGTGTTCACATGTGTGTGGTGTGTATATGTATGTGTTCACATGTGTGTGGTGTGTATATGTGTTCACATGTGTGTGGTATGTATATGTGTTCACATGTGTGTGGTGTATATAAGTGTTCACATGTGTGTGGTGTGTATATGTGTTCACATGTGTGTTGTGTACACGTGTGTGGTGTGTATATGTATGTGTTCACATGTGTGTGGTGTGTATAAGTATGTGTTCACATGTGTGTGTTGTGTAAATGTGTTCACATGTGTGTGTTGTGTATATGTGTTCACATGTGTGTTGTGTATATGTATGTGTTCACATGTGTGTGGTGTGTATATGTGTTCACATGTGTGTGATATACACATGTGTGTGGTGTGTATATGTGTTCACATGTGTGTGGTGTGTATAAGTATGTGTTCACATGTGTGTGGTGTGTATAAGTATGTGTTCACATGTGTGTGGTGTGTATAAGTATGTGTTCACATGTGTGTGGTGTGTATAAGTATGTGTTCACATGTGTGTGGTGTGTATAAGTATGTGTTCACATGTGTGTGGTGTGTATAAGTATGTGTTCACATGTGTGTGGTGTGTATAAGTATGTGTTCACATGTGTGTGGTGTGTATAAGTATGTGTTCACATGTGTGTGGTGTGTATAAGTATGTGTTCACATGTGTGTGGTGTGTATAAGTATGTGTTCACATGTGTGTGGTGTGTATATGTATGTGTTCACATGTGTGTGGTGTGTATATGTATGTGTTCACATGTGTGTGGTGTGTATATGTATGTGTTCACATGTGTGTGGTGTGTATATGTATGTGTTCACATGTGTGTGGTGTGTATATGTATGTGTTCACATGTGTGTGGTGTGTATATGTATGTGTTCACATGTGTGTGGTGTGTATATGTATGTGTTCACATGTGTGTGGTGTGTATATGTATGTGTTCACATGTGTGTGGTGTGTATATGTATGTGTTCACATGTGTGTGGTGTGTATATGTATGTGTTCACATGTGTGTGGTGTGTATATGTATGTGTTCACATGTGTGTGGTGTGTATATGTATGTGTTCACATGTGTGTGGTGTGTATATGTATGTGTTCACATGTGTGTTGTGTATATGTGTTCACATGTGTGTGGTGTGTATATGTATGTGTTCACATGTGTGTTGTGTATATGTGTTCACATGTGTGTGGTGTGTATATGTATGTGTTCACATGTGTGTGGCACATGATGTGCATTTGTAGTGTATGTGCACGTGTATATGTGTGTTCACACATGTGTGTGGGAACATGCATATGTGGGTGTGTGTATATGTTAACGTTAGGAGGCTTCCTTGATTGCTTGCCTCTTCATCTATTGAGGCAGGGCAATAGTTTCCCTCACTGAACCCAGAGCTCACTAATTCTGGCGAGTCTGGCTAACCCGCTTGCCTAGGAGACTCCTTGTCTTAGTTTCTCAAGTGTTAGAGGCAGCCACCGTGTCAGCCTGGCTTGCACATGGGTTCTGGGGATCTGAAAACCAGGCCTCAGGCTTGCATAGTGAGTGCTTGCATCTTTAAACGTTACTACCTTTACTTCTCTGATACTTTTGTAAACCTCAGTCAGCATCCTTTCTTGTTGGGGAGATTCGGCGTCTGCTGAGGCTTACTGAGATGCAACCCAAGACATCTCCTGAGTTCCTAACAGTCCTTGAGGCTCTTGCTGTGAAAAAGATACTTTCACCTGTAGTGGGAAGTTACCAATACAGAGCCAGGTAGAAATATAAGGGTATTTAATAGGGAAAAGCCTTACTTACAGAGCGACCTAGCCAGCTGGCGCAGCATCAGTCTGTACGCAAGCCGAAAGGGGGCATCAAACTGAAGGCGAAACTCAGCCAACTCAAGCTCTTACACTACATCACCCTGACCGTGCCCTCGCAGGCGTGGTCAGGCAGACCTGTAGCCAGCCCCTAAGCAGGCGTGGCTACAGTTTCCCCTACATTCACCCCATCAAATGGCACTGATGTCTCCTTGTGTTAGTTGTGTTCTTCAGTCACTGTGGGGAAGGCAGCCAATGGTAGTGGCCTCAGGTGTGTGGGGAACGAAGCTGACACTCCATTGTGAGGGGACACAGAGTGACTAGACCCTTTGAAGTGACTTTAAATCACATATCTTAGCAATGCATGTCCCCGTCATCTGATACAAACAACTTTCAGAGACATATGAGCAATTCTTCCCAAACTGTTGTAATCGGGATTTAGTTTTTGCTATAGTAGTTGCAATTATGCCATTGTGCAATATTTTAGTCCCTTGGGCTTTGTCTGCCTCCCCTGTGTGGAGAAACTTCAACAAAATTCATTTAAATGGCAGAGCTTTTTTGAGCATTTTAAAAAGTTCTTTGAGCATTTCATAGATAAACATAATGTATTTTGATCGTGTTCGCCAGCACTGTCCCCCTCTTCCAGACCCTGCCCTACACCCTGCTGCTGTACCCCCCACACTTGGTCCAGTTAGGCTGTCTGTGTCTGCATGGGTATGAGGCCACTCCCCAGAGCGTGGACAACGCATCAGAGGCCATACGCCCAAACACAAATGACTCTTCCTCTTCCAGGAGCCATCACTGACAATGGCCCCTCAGCGGGGAGGGTGGGGGGTGTCTCGTGCGCGTCTCTCCCCCACCACTGCCTCACAAGTGCCGTGGCCTCACACGACACATTTCCACAGCAGTCACCCCATCTTTTGGCTTTGGCAGTCTTCCAGCACCCTCCTCTCTGATGTTCCCTGAGCATGGGGGTGGTCGGTGAGACAAAGGTTCTTTTAGGACTGAGCAGTAAACGAAGGACCTTCACCTAAGGTGTCCAGGGCTGGAATGCATCCTAGAAAAACAGGGGTTTTATACACTAAAATCTCTCTATAGCAGATCTAATTCAATATTATTGACCCATAGAGAAATAAATGGTTCTCTTCAGGGACCAACAGTTGCCATGTGGTCAGCATCTCCTATGTCCTCCAGGGAACTGCTTCCTGATGTAGTCAGAGAGCTAGTTTGACTCTAAAACATAGTTAAGCATACTGGACCCTTTCTCTTGTCTTTACAGATAACATTTGACAACAAGGCTCACAGTGGAAGAATCAAAATCAGTCTAGATAATGACATTTCTATCAGAGAATGCAAAGACTGGCATGTATCCGGGTCAAGTGAGTAGTGAGCTCCACTCATTTGCAGGGTGCTAATTCCATAATTAAACATTGAATTACTGCCTTCGGAGAGAATGCAAAGACTGGCATGTATCCGGGTCAAGTGAGTAGTGAGCTCCTCACATTTGCAGGGTGCTAATTCCATAATTAAACATTGAATTACTGCCTTCGAGACACAAGGACCACTAAGCAAAAGACTGAGCTAGCTCCAAGTCTCTTGATGTTCTGTAAGCAGATCACGGTGTTGTTGATGTCTGGTGTTTCAGACAGTATGCGGCACTGAGTGGCTCTTTACCTTCTCCACAAGTCCTCCTCACCTGCCTCCTCCTTACTAACTACACACTCAGGTCTGTACTACAAGCCTACACATACCTATTTTCCTCATGCTGATATTTTTAAATATCTCAGTGAGCAGCAAAGTGGAGAAACCAAGGCTCAGAAGTGAAGTGTTGTGTGACCTGTGGTCTTACAGCGAGGGAGATGTCAGGTGGGATTTGACCTCGAAGCTATGACACACTGTAGTTGTCTTCCATCTGGCTTTAAAAGTAAAGTAATGTGGGAAAAAGTCTGTCCTAAAAACATGAACAAAAATTCAGGTCAGAATGAGTCCTGTCAGGAATTGGAAAATTCTGCCAGGAAAGGATTTCCGAGTCACTTTCTAAGTAGCGTGAATGGAAGGCTGCACTGTACAGAATGATTACATGAGAGCTTCAGGGGTCATGGCCGAGGAGGAGTGTCTTGGCCACCTGCTAAGACACAGGTTCCTGTGCTTTATCCAAGACAGTCAGTAGGTCTGGCTGGGTCCAGAATGTGTCAGTGCTGCTCAGCAGACCAACAAGAGGGTAATCCCTGTCGCAGGGTTTGTTTCTGACTGGTTTGCCAAGCCCCAGGTGACCATGATGAGTCTGTGGAGTGAAACAGTCCTGATGGTGTTATTTGCACAGGAGGCAGCTGAGTGTGCGAGGCTCTCACATCGCAAGCTTCATCGCTGTCACAGACTTGTCTGTGTGGGGTGCAGGAGGTCTGTTTTGCCAGCGGTGAGAGGTGAGCAGCATCCCACAAAGGAAAATGGGAGCACACGCAATTTGTTTTTAAGTCTCTCTAAGGCAGAGTTAGATGTTTGGGCAGCCATTAGAAGCCACTTGGAACATCCTGGTTTGCTTTATTCCAGCACTTTCTGAAACTCCTTCATCACTGTGTCAGCTCACAGCAGCCTGACTGGTAGAGATAAGCTCATCTTGTGGGCCATGGCTTCACACTTTCAATTCTCCAGGATTTCAATGTGGCTGAACAAAGGCTATCCTCTCTCTCTTCCCTCCCTCCCCACCCTTCCCCTCTTTTCTCCTCTCCTGTCTCCCCCCCTTTCCCTCCCTTCTCCTCCCCTCCATTTTTCTTCTTCCTTTTTCTTTTTTTCCTCTCTTTTTGCCTCCTCTTCACTCTCCTCCTCCTCTTCTTCCATAGTTTAAACAGGGTCTCTCTATATAGCTCAGGCTGTCCTCAAACTCACAATCTTTCTGCCTTGGTCTCTAAGTGCTGGGACTTTAGGTTTGTGCCACCAAGCCTGTCCGAAGCTGGTCATTTCTTGTCTCCCAAGGCTCTGTGAAAGCCTTGGTGAGGCCTGTTTCCTGGCTGCCTCCTCTAGCATGGCAGGATGGCTCTGAAACATTAGCCTTGTCTGGAGGGCCTAGCGGCACAGCACCTCTGGCTCAGTAGTTTATGGCAAGAGCTGAGGATGTCCCCTAATGATTCTAAAACAAAACAAAATGAGCCTGATGAAGAGTGGGGGGGGGTGCTGGAAGCAGGCTGTGAGGGACTGAATGCCAACTGGGCCACTTACTGTGTCACCTAGGCAAATTATGTGGCCTCTTTGTGTTTCAGTTCTCTCATGTGCAAAGTGGGGGGAAATCATGGCAGCTTCCCAGGAGCTTTTGTGAGGATCCTGTACACACAGGGTGCTTGGAACTGAGTCAGGCGAGAGGTGTGCTGAGCAAAATGTGTGGCTGTGGTGTAACTGCTCTTGTATCCCTCCATCTGTATGAGCTGTTTGTGCCCTGCTCTTCCCTTTGCTTTTCTTGCGGGCATAGACGCTCTCAGTAGGCCAGGGGCCTTGTCTGCCTTGTTTACCACTGTGTCCCAGTACCTAGAAAAGTGACAGGTGCATGGGGTACTTAATGAATATTTTATACCCTGCCAAGTACGTTAACAAGCAATGTGGGGAGGCTTACTGATTGGTTGATTGACTTTTTTTTTGGAAAGAATTTCACTGTATGTGGCACAGGTTGTCCTCAAATGTAGTAGATAATGCAAGCTAGCCTAGACCTCCTGGTAATCATTCTGATTCTTGCTCCCAAGTGCTGGGATTGTAGACATGCACCATTACATCCAGCAAGGAAAACCTTTTCAGCATAAAGACTACAAACTGATAATTAAAGATCTTTTTTTTAAAAAAAAAAAAAGAAGCACCCTCAGCTTTCTTTAAATACTAATGGGAAGAATGGCTCATAAATTCTTTTTGTTGTTGTCATTCTGAAATGCTTGAATTATCTAAATTATTATAAAAAGAAGCCAACGTCATCATATTAATGCCTCATCCATGAACATCCAGGGCTCTCTGTCTTCCAGTTCAGAAGAATACCCACTATATGATGGTCTTCGATGCCTTTGTCATTCTGACCTGCTTGTCCTCGCTGGTGCTCTGCGCCAGGTCTGTGGTTAGGGGTCTTCAGCTTCAGCAGGTAGGGCGCTGCTCCCCGAGAAGCCACCGACACGCTCAGCCACAGGGACAGGATGCTCACAGTCTCTCTCCTCTTCCCCAAAGGAATTTGTCAGCTTTTTCCTTCTCCACTATAAGAAGGACGTTCCTGCCTCCGACCAAATGGAGTTCATCAATGGATGGTACATCGTGATTATCATCAGTGACATACTGACCATCGTCGGGTCAGTTCTGAAAATGGAAATCCAAGCCAAGGTAGAAACTCTTTTTCCCGATTGTGTTACCACAATGGTAAAATGTATTTCCCAAACTGTGAAGAAATTCAAAGCAAACGCTTTCTTCTGAGCCTTATGGTCAGTTAAATGGAAACTGACAAGCGTAGTTTTCTTAACTCTAGCATTAGTCTCCTAGTCAGAGTTTTACAAGTCGTAATCCATAAATATAGGTCAGAATCAAGAGTGTTCACAAAAGGCTCTGTGCTAGACCAAGAGAGTTCAAACTCTGCAGGCCACAGACACCAAAGCCATGTGTACACTAGGGAAACTAGCTGAGAGTTCTCAAAGGAAATGTTAGAGTTACATATTCAACAACAACAAAAGGGGTACAGGGAGGGAAAGTGACGTCAAGCATGACGCTGTGGATTTTTGTTTCTTCTCACAAATGTGCTTATGTCCCCCCCCACACCCCTGCATGCTTTTGTTCTTACTTTTGCCATTGATATTAGTCTCTTGAAATAAGATTAATCTGGTCTAGGATTAATCACTCTCTACAAACAAAAATTTAAAAAATTAACAATGTTCAAATGAATCTTGCTCAACTTTGTACTTTCCTCGTCTTGCTGGCATTAACTGCACTTCACCTAGGAAGCAGGTTATAAACCTAGGTAGAGACTCAACACACCGGGGCTGGGTCAAAGGGCAGCTTGTTCTCTTTTCTGAAACCATCAGGGTGGGGCTCTGGGTTGGCAGGTCATTCAGGAACCTGAACTCTCTTCATTTGTTCTTTGTCAGAAGTTGAGGACTCTTCCTGGCTTCATGGCTGACACAGTGTTGCCTTGTGAACTGACTCAGCCTATGGGAAGTGAAAACACCAGCTGGTGGCAGCCCTCCCCTGTCACGTGTCACGTGGCCCAGGTGCAGGGCTAGCAGATTTCATTTCTGTTCACATGCTCTGGAGAAGAGCTGTCAAACTCACCTGCAAGGAGATCTGGGGAAATAAATAGACACCTGCTTGAGAAGGAGGCGGGGCATACATACCGTTGTTCACGATGGGATAGCCACTGTGGTACATGGCTGCCATTTGAGCAGTTCAACTTTAGGGAACAAAAGAAAAAAAAAAGATGGTGGATTTGCAGTACATATTTATTTATTTAGTTAATTACTAGGATCTCATGCATCTCATGCTATCTTCAAACTCACCATGTAGCTGACTGGTCTTGAACTCTGATCTTCATACCCCCACCTCCCAAATTCTGGGACTACAGGCACATACCATACATGGCACAATTATTTATTTTTTATCAACCTCAACTATCATTTCCTCAGTGAGCCCTCAGTTGTGTCCAACATTTTCTTCATTTTCGGGACCTTCTTTTTCTCTTCTGAAACCTCTAGCGATCCCACCCCCCCTCACTCCCTGTTTCAGAACAGAGACACGCCTTCCACAGTCGTCTGTCCCCCACCCCACCCCTCACTATCTCCAGTGTCCCTGCATTCATGCTGTGAATGATTTGGGCTGCTGTCCAAGGCTAGCTCCTTCAGGTACCTCTCAGAAGCTGATCCCAGGTTCTCAGTGGAGGATGTAGCTTCAGCGACTCTTTCTCCTCTCTGGCAATTCTTGTCTCCTGTAACTTTCTCACACTGCTGTTGCTTCTTCTGTAAAATTAAAATCCCAATTCCTCTACCCAACGATTCCCCAACGTCTCTGCTCCACCCCATTGAACGAAAGATCTCACAATAGTAATTAACCTTGTCGACGGTTCTGTCTCGTCCATCCGTCCTCCCCCACCTTCTTCTAGTAAGTCTTCCAACCCGTGGCCTCACTTCCCCATGGAGATTCCTTTCTGCAGATGCCCCGTGGACCGTTTCCCATCAGTAGCTTTTCACTGTGATCTGTGATGAGTTGTCTTTTAGCTGAAGTGACACTTCCCTAGGTTTCCCCCCCGATCCCTGGCTGGCAGTCAGAGCTTTCCTCGCTGGTTCCCTCTCACTTGGCCAAACACCGTGTGAGACATCCTCCTTGGACAGCTCTTTTCTGCCACTGCCTTGGTGTTTATCATCCTGACCAGATATTTTGGTATTTATTTGCCAGTGTTTGCCAACCTGGAACTCCACCTTGGAAGTCTCTGTGCTGTATCCTGAATGTCTGAGAGTTGACCCTATATCTTCTCTTGACTCCCGATGTATCTTCTCAGATTTAACACACCCAACTCAGAACTCCCCCAGTCCTCAACCCAAATCCACTTCTCCCATTGCCTCTCCAATGTCCATTAACAGCAGCTCTCAGTGTGTCCCCCCCAAACCATGCATTCACAGAAGCTCCTCTTTTTCATGAATCTCCTCCCTCCCATGCTGAATCCCAGAGGGAGCCTAGGTGTTCTACCTCTGAAAATGACCCCATCACCTTTACAGTTCCAGCCTGAACAAAGTTATCACCAGCTCTCACTTGCATTTCTTCCAGAACCTTCTCATCCCCTCAGCAGGCTGCTGCCAACCATAGCACCCCTATTTGGTCATGTTGCTCCTGTTCAAGGCTCTCAAATCTCACTAACCTTTTCTGACAAAAAACACAGCCTTAAGTACCCATGAGGTCTTCCAGTACCCACCCCTCACCCCCATATCCCCACACTCCATCTGTTGCTCACTTCTTGCCTGGCTCCTGGCTGCCTTGGGTCCCTTGTACTTGCTGCTCTGTATGCCAAAGGGTCTTCTAGATTCTTGCTTGACTTTCTTTGCTCATTTCTTTCAGATCTTTGATTCCGTGTCACTAATTCATTGAGCTTGTTCCTGCCCGTCCTATTTCAAGTTACAAACCCATGCTCATTCCTTTTCTCCCTCTCTGATCGGCCTTCTTCCTCAGCATTTACCCAAGGCTGTGTCCATCCAGTGCTCCACACATTCCACTAGAGTCTAATCTTCATGAGGGTAAAAACCTATTTGTCAGTTGCTTTATCCTTCACACGTAGAACAGCTCCTGGTGCATAACTACTTAACATTTCTTGCCCAACTGACATATTGCTACTTAACCAATCTTTCCCCTTCTATCTAGAGTCTCACAAGCTATGATGTCTGCAGCATATTTCTTGGGACTTCGACCATGCTTGTGTGGCTTGGCGTCATCCGATACCTGGGTTTCTTTGCGAAGTACAATGTAAGCGATCCTAAGGAACTGACCAGAATCTTATCCCACGCTTTGACTAAAGGGCAGAGGGATCCTAATGTCCCCTCTTCCTTCCACAGCTCCTTATTCTGACGCTCCAGGCAGCGCTGCCCAACGTCATCAGGTTCTGTTGCTGCGCCGCTATGATCTATTTAGGTTATTGCTTTTGTGGATGGATTGTGCTGGGCCCTTACCATGACAAGGTACTGACAGCCAACTTTCTTCCTGACACTATTAACCTCAAACAACAAGGACAATGGCTTTGATTTTATGATTACTACTTTTTATTCATTTATATTTTTGTTTGTGTTCAAGTTGGCTTTGAACTCACATATGTAGTCAAGGATGACCTTAAGTTCTGGTCCTCTTGCCTATATCTCCCAAGTGCTGGGATGACAGGTGTGTGCCAACCTGTCATCCCATGTGTTAAATATGTTTTTTGGGGGGTGGTTTCCGAGGTAGGGTTTGTCTTTGGAGGTTGTCTTGGAACTAGCTCTTGTAGACCAGGCTGGTCTCGAACTCACAGAGATCTCCCTGCCTCTGTCTCCCGAGTGCTGAGATTAAAGGCATGCGCCACCACTGCCCAGCTAAAAAGTATTAATACTTTTATTTATTCGTTGAGAATTTCACACATAATGCATAGCATATTTTATCATATTTATCCCTATGACTCCCAATTCCTCTCAGATTCTAACTTCATGTCTTCTTTTTTGTAACCCAATGAGTCCAATTAGTGCATTCCACATGTGGAGAATTTCACACATAATGCATAGCATATTTTATCATATTTATCCCTATGCCTCCCAATTCCTCCCAGATTCTTACTTCATGTCTTCTTTTTTGTAACCCAATGAGTCCAGTTAGTGCATTCCACATGTACATATGGGTGGAGCCAGCCACAGTAGTATGGTCAGTCTACCAACGACCCACACTGACTCCGCTAGCCAACAGCCACCACCTGCTATCAGTGTTATCCCTCTTAGATGAACTCCCTTGGTCATGTGATTGAGTCTAAGATGTGGAAAGTCATACATCTACATTCACATAGGGACCAAGAGTGAGTGCATCACTATTTATAAATCAGTCAAATGTGAGCCCCCTGCGAGAGTCATTGATCCGCTCCATTGCCTGAAATCCTGTTTGGAATGTATTAGATAATTATGTTCCATTAACAACCAGTGAAGTTGTTTAGTCCTTTGAATTCACTGAGATACATCTATACAACTATAGAGAAAAAAAAAAAAACAACGCTGTAGGAATATTTGAAAAGTTTGCTGTGAGAACTGTTGTCTTGACTGTTAGACATTATCTTGAGTTTGGGTGAGCTTCAGAATGAGGCAAAGGACCTGTGAGTCTGGAACCTGGATGTTTCTGCAGAAGCATTTAAAGTATTTCAAGGGTTTCTTTCTGTGAAAGGGAAAGGCAGAGAGGAGGAAGGGGAAGGAAGGGAAGGGAAGAGAGGGAAAGGGAAGGGAGAGGAGGGGAAGGGAAGGGAAGAAAGGAAAGGACGGGAAGAGAAGGGAGGGGAGGGAGGGAAGGAAGGGAAAGCATGGCTCTGAAGGCCCTTGGAGAGCAGAGCAGCTTCTCCTGTTCTTGTTAAGGCTGCTGCTCCTCAGAGGAGCATCGGGAAAGAGCTGCTTGACCCCGGATTTGAAAAGTTTGCTGTGAGAACTGTTGTCTTGACTGTTAGACATTATCTTGAGTTTGGGTGAGCTTCAGAATGAGGCAAAGGACCTGTGAGTCTGGAACCTGGATGTTTCTGCAGAAGCATTTAAAGTATTTCAAGGGTTTCTTTCTGTGAAAGGGAAAGGCAGAGAGGAGGAAGGGGAAGGAAGGGAAGGGAAGAGAGGGAAAGGGAAGGGAGAGGAGGGGAAGGGAAGGGAAGAAAGGAAAGGACGGGAAGAGAAGGGAGGGGAGGGAGGGAAGGAAGGGAAAGCATGGCTCTGAAGGCCCTTGGAGAGCAGAGCAGCTTCTCCTGTTCTTGTTAAGGCTGCTGCTCCTCAGAGGAGCATCGGGAAAGAGCTGCTTGACCCCGGAAGAAGCAGCAGGCTAGGACACAGCATACGCAGTAAAGCAAATGCTTGTGGTTACCTGGGGGTGGCTGTTGGGAAAGTGTCACCTGGAATAGCAGGTCTGACCATTTTCAGGATGATGTCATGAAGAAAAGTCTCCCACATGAAGGCACTTTGGAAAAATCCTAAACCTTTTCTGCCCCCCTTTCCCCAGTTCCGGTCTCTGAACAGGGTCTCCGAGTGCCTCTTCTCTCTGATAAATGGAGATGATATGTTTTCCACATTTGCAAAAATGCAGCAGAAGAGTTACCTGGTTTGGCTGTTCAGCCGAATCTACCTCTACTCCTTCATCAGCCTCTTTATATACATGATCCTGAGCCTTTTCATTGCGCTGATCACAGACACGTACGAAACGATTAAGGTAGGCTCGTCAAAAGCCAGGGCACCGCTCTTCTAGAACGTGTGTATGGCAATGCAGCTTAGTGCTGAGATGGAGGACATTGGTGGAGAGAGATGCAACCCAATTTTAACAATTGGGGAATAGAAAAAAGTAAAGGGAAATGAAATTTCTATAATGTTGAATGTCTTGTTTCTCAGTATTCATGTCAAAAATAAAAGAGAGTTCTTTTTTCTTTTTCTTTTTTTAAAATTCACTGTTAGTTGTACTAAGGATTAAACCCAGGGTCTGGCATGTGGCATGTGTTAGGCACACCCATGCCATTGAACTGTATGTCCCCAACCCTTAAGTACATTTTATAATCTTTTGTTACACTAATAATGGTCAGTAGGTATTGGGTGTACACAACAGACATTTGAGAAAGGCAACATTTTGAGCTGTGAAGGATGTTCATAGCTCAGATCCCAACCAGGTTGGGATTCTGGCTGCCTGAGCCAGGGTCCACCCAAGGAGCTTCCTTCACACTGTCCACCTGGAAATTCAGAGGATGTAGGGCAGACTGATGGTGGACATCATAGGGCTTAGGGCAAAGCTGGCTAAGTATTTCCCAGGAGAGGAGGCAGGGCAAGATTCACAAGCAGACTGGGAGGAGCAAGCACAGAAGGGCTGATGCTGAGTCTCAGGCCTGCTTCACTTCCGCCTAGCCTAAGAGTGGCTCTGGAGGTGACAATTCCTAGAAATGCCTGGGAGTGCAAGGTAACCTCCCAGAGAGACCCTTCCATCGCCAAATGCTCCATTATGAGTTTGGAATACAGCTGTTGGAGAGAGCCCTATTCACAAGTACATTTCTCTTCTTCTGTGTAGCACTACCAGCAAGACGGCTTCCCAGAGACAGAGCTCCGAAAGTTTATAGCAGACTGTAAAGACCTCCCCAGTTCTGGAAAATACAGATTAGAAGATAACCCTCCAACATCTTTATTCTGCTGCTGCAATAAGTGACCGTGGGCTTTCTCTGTGCTTGGAGAAGAAAACATAGTATGTGGCTGAGTCAGAGACAATCTGGATGGCTTGTGATCACGCAACAGTATGTTCAGATATGAGTATTCTAAGCCAACTCGCAACGATTTAGCAAGACCTGTGTCTATGTCTTAATATATTTAACATCTTTTCTGCTTACATTAGCATTTTAAAGATAACTGATTTGATGAGGGAACTACTGGATCACTGCCCTGTCTTAGGTGAGTAGCTCTTGCCTGTGTTTGTTCTCTAGTCCCCCTTTTCCTGACGGTGTGGCTTGTCATGCACTGGAGAATGAGCTCCGGTCTCTTAATGCCTTTGGGTGACCCAGTGTCCCTCTCTGAGAGTTGGGAAAATGATCACACATCAGACATCACTGCATCTTAGAGTCTCCCCTTAAAAGAAGACAGAACAGGAAAGAGGCCTTCAGCACAGCTGGCGGAGCGATGCCTGGCTCTTAGAGACAGCCATTATATGGTTCTCATATTCATTGAGAAGCTCTCTCTGCCTTCCAGTGTTAAGGTTCAAGGCTGGAAGAGATTCTACACATGAATGGAAGTTAAAGCATGTGCCAATGGAATATTTGATTAAACAGTGATGGCTTTATTAGCATCCAAGCAGCGTGGGGAAACTAGTGATACATCGTGCCTTCCATAGGCATGTGGGGTCAGGATCTGTGGGCTCCATGGACTGCAGTTCTAGAACGCATGCTAGAAATTTTAAAATAAATATATGCAGCTTGAAAAGGCACTAAATTAGTCTCTACACTTTGTAGTCCACTGATGGGCAAGTATTGAGGTTCTTATGGTATGTACTCATTCTGTGTACTATTTATCTATGTAAATATTAATTCAATTATGTGTAATAATGACTTTATAAAAGCACCTTTAGAAAATCAAAACTTTAACATTTTAATGTTGTGCTAGAGACATAAGGAAAATAAGACATTGAAATCTTTTTTTTTTTCTTTTTGTTCTTTTGAGACATGATTTCTCTGTGTAGCTCTTATTCTGAAACTTGCTCTGTGGACTAAGCTGGACTGGAATTCACAGAGATCCACTTGCTTCTGCCTCCCAAGTTCTGGGATTAAAGTGCATGTTCCACCACCCCCTGGTGACATTGGAATCTTGATATTTAATCATAAGAATGACTCCAGATGTTGCAATGTGGGGCTTTACAGTAATAGAAGACACTTTTGAGGTCCTTGTGGCTTACAGTTGTGGTGCCTAAGCTTTTCAGGTGAGAGCGTTAAGGCTTAGCTCTAACACGGGTATCTTAGTTAGGGTTTCTATTGCTGTAAAGGAACATCATGACCAAGGCAACACGTATAAGGAAAATGTTTAATTGAGGGGGCTCACTTACAGTTTCAGAGGTTCAGCTCATTATCATCATGGCAGGGAGCATGGCGGCCTGCAGGCCAACATGGTACTGGAGGAATAGCTGAGAGTCCTACATCTTGCAGGCAACAAGAAGTCTACTGAGACATTGGGCAGCACCCTGAGCATAGGAAACCTCAAAGCCCACTCCGAGTGATACACTTCCTTCAACAAGGCCACACCCACTGCAATAAAGCCACACCTCCCTAGGAGATTATGGGGGCCAAAGACATTCAACCCCCCCCCACAACGGGTATCATGTTTATCTTGCAATTTATTAAGATGCAACATGAAATTTAAAACTGTGTTTACTATCTAAGAACTCCTTACTGTTACTCTCTTTGAGTGGTTTTGGACTAACTATAATATTTCATTGGAAACACAAAACCTGGGGTTGGGCCTGGCGTTGCTTCCCTTTGCACGCAGACAAGCTGGCTGTAGACTAACAGGGCTGGAGAGCTCTGGGCCTGCAGGGCCGGCCCTTCACATGCAGCAGATCACAGATAGAAGTTGGGGTGTGCCAACCCATAACCCTGGTTCAGGGCCTGGGCAGCTGCAGGGTTGGTCAGCCTGCTAGTTCTTCCCTGTCCTCACCACCAGGGTGAGCTCTCCAGCATTGCCCTGGCTAGTTCATCCCTTGTATTGATGATGAGCCAGGGGCAGGGCCAGTTCTCCTGCTTTCAGGCCCTCAGGGTCAGCTCTCCCACATACCAGGCCCAGCTGTGCCGTGCTGTCCCACATTCCCGGGTGCTGCAGCTGGTAAGGGGGAGGGGTAAGCTCACTTGCCCACCACAGGTGGCAAGGGCAGGGGGCCGGAGAGTGTCTTTCCCTCACCCTCATCATCACATGGCAGATGAGAGGGGTGTGGCCAGCTATCCCACTATCACACACTCAGGACCAGCTCACCTGCTCTTCTGCCAGAAGGATCAGTTCTACTGTGTTGCCCATGCAACTTCCTTGAGTTTGATATCTGATAAGGGGAAGAATCGGCTCCCTTGTCTGTCACAGGTGGCAGGGGTAAGGGGAGACATCTCTCCCCCACCCAGCAGCAGCCCAGGCCCAGACATCACCATGGCCCTGGGCTGCAATCAAGCCAACCATCTCAACCTGCTCCTCACAGCTTTCACCTCTTTACATAGGCCTCTGTCCACAGGATAGGAACCATTCTCTCTCTCTCTTTCTCTCTTTCTCTCTCTCTCTCTCTCTCTCTCTCTCTCTCTCTCTCTCTCTCTCTCTCCCCTCCAATACCACACCATACATTTGTTCATCATAATAGTGCCTGTCTGCCATTGCTGCAAGGTGCCAGGTGGGCCCATATTTTCTCCTTGGAGCCTAGGGTGGACCTACCCAGGCCTGTGTGTGGGTCTCCTTGTCCTGCTCCATCCATCATGGTGGTGGGCAGGACCATGTTTCCTCATCACAAAGAGATCATGATAGTGTCCAGCTGCCCCGTGCCAGAGGGTTCCTGGTTGGTGAGGAGGCGTTGCTGGAGTCCCATTGAGGCTGGGACTAGAAACCCAGGGCTGCGTTTGGTTGAGTCCTGCCCACCCCAGATGTGGGGCAGAGCTGTTGCCACTTCTGGACTTTCTTGGCTTCAGAACCATGAGGCAAAACAAACTCCTGTCCTTTGTGAGTTACTCAGTTTCAGGCATTCTGTTATAGCAACAGGAAATAAATGGGGAGCATTGAAATAAGTAATGGAGCATGGCTATACAATACTTGACTATGTGGAGGCTGTAGTCAAGCTGAGTAATGGGCCCAGGCTGCAGCAGTGTTGGAGTGAGCGCCAGGAAAGGAGCTGGTTGTCATATGTAGAAAACTTGGGGCAATTCTGGGGAGAGCTCAGGAAAACACAGGACTAAGGACAGTGTGGGAGTAAAATAGTTGTGGCTGTAAGGGAAGGGAAGCAAAGACGTCTGTCTTCCCTGACAGAAGGGAAGCAAAGACGTAGGTAGAGATGAGGATGTCTTTCAGGGACGTGGAGGGAAAGTCACCCTACTACACAGCTGCAAGGAAGGGGGCTGTATGAGCTCTTTCTCACTCTGTGGAGACAAGGGTGACAGCATGGTGTATCTGGAGGAAGAGCCACCTGTCCTAGACACTCCCTGGCCATGCTCCCTAGTAACTTCTGGGACGCAACAGCAAAGGGGTGTGTAATGCTGGGAGTCATAGTTAAGCACTGAAACTGGGGAAATTAGTGGCCTGGTCATGCAAGAGTCAAAGAGCATGGCCAACAGAGATTGCCAAGTGTGTGGCCGAGCCGCTGTTTGTGAGGCAGGCCAGGGCAAGCACAGATGAGGCAGGTCCTACTTAGCAGAGCAGTGGGGAAAGGCCACCAAGCAATTTCAGAGCCTTTGAGTCTATTTCTTTCAGCCAAGACCCAGAACCCTAGAAGGGGTGACTGGTTCCAGGGGACCGACCCTCCAAGGCTTTATCACTTCTAGTGGCCCAAGGATTCTGCTCCTCGAATCACATGTTGGTTCTACTCAGCCACTCCCAGCTTTGGCTCAAGTGTATCCAGATATGGCTCCGGTCTCAAATCCAAACTACCTGATCAGCAAACCCCGGGCAGCGTGCTGTGCCTCAAGTGGGCTCAGATGTGCCTTCTACTGCTGCTGCAGAGGACACAATAAGCAGATGCTAGAGGTACCCACTCAGTAGGTGAGCAGAACGCAGGGGCTGTGAAGGTGTATAACCCACCAACTAAACATCAAAAGACTCACTGGACCTTCTGGGGGCGACACTGGAGACTTGCCAGGATAGGAGGTGGCAGTGTAGGGGTGGGTCTGCACCTGTGATCCCACAGTGCAATGAAGACTTCTCCTCCCCTTCCCCCTACAGTAGCCACATAGATTGAATGCCCAAAAGATGTGGGAACAGAGCTGCCTACTGTTTAGGGAGCCCACCTCTATCCTGTGCCTAGATAACTCTAGATTTTTAAGATGTAATATCGGTTCTGTTGGGTGCTATCCATCCTATGGTCACTTCTGTCTTTGGGAATGAAAGTGTTTACCCTAAGCCTGTTCTGCTTTTACATCTCAAAAGGTGATGGCGTGTCCTGATTTTACAGCCTCACACTTCACAGGGCTTTGAAGATGATTCTGGAACTAGTTGAGAGGTAGAGATTATTAGGACAAAATAAATGTATCTTTCATAGCAAGAAGTACATGAATGGGGGACAAAGAAGGAAGGCTACAGTTTGAGTATGTTCCACCCGAGGCCCATGTGTTGAGAGCCTGGGCCTATCAGGAGGCATTTGGTCCATGGAGATAGAGGCTTAAGAGTGCATATGTTTTCCTCGTGGGAATAGCAAGTCATCCTGAGTGTTTGTGGCCTGTTCCTTTTCCCGTGTGCATGTCCCTCCTCTTCCTTCTGATTTCTCATAGGTCCGAGCCCCATAGAGTATTCCTCGAAGGTAACATGCTTCTGGAATTTTGGACCACATGAAACGCTTTCTTTATAAATTACCAAGTATCAGGCATTCCTGTTACAGTAACAGAAGAACTAACTTCACACAAGGGAGAATAGTTAGTTGACATTTTTCTTTCTTTGTTTCTTCTTTTTATTTTATTTTAGAGACAAACTCTAACTATGTAGGTAGACCTG